GCACGAAAACGGAACCGTAACTACATCACGACACTAATCCATAACTAGCGTAAACAACTTTTAGTTTGAACAACTGGCAGCAATTTAAATTTTTTAGTAAGGAGCGCCGTTTGAGAATTCGCCTGCAAATGGACCTTTTCCACATACCGACGGCGCCAGGCGGTGACTGCACGAACTAAAAATCGAGGAAGTAAGCTACCTGCGCTACCAATCGATAATGGTAGCTACGCTACCAGTTTCTTCGCTCTCTGAGCTGCGGCGCGTGCCCAACGCGACTTAAAGAGGGGCATTCGTGGCGTCCACCTAAACGCCGTGTTTTTCTTTCCGTCCACGTTCTTTTTTTGTGTAACACAATTATATATATGCTGCAATTACGTGTTCTACTCGCTGATCCAAAGCCTCCTTCCGAATTTCCTCGATTTTTCATTCCGACTTCCACCGCTTGGCGTCGGGCGCTCGCGCGTGCACAACGCTTCTCGGAAAAGGTCCATTACAATGGAGAGCAGCCCAACATACGTCCCTCGCTCAGAACACGTTCACATAGTCCCACTGCATCAGTTTTCAATACTTTCTATGCCCCATGCTACCGATACTCAAACAAGAATCTCAAAAAAAGACAAAATACACACAAAAATAGGTGATAGAAAATGTTGGTCGTGCGGGACGGTGCCCTTCGGAAATGGCGACATAAGAAACCATGGTGATGAGAGAAGGCCTCCGAAAGCGCAGGGACTTACTGGAAAAAAGGTTTAATGCCTCAAGCAATGGCCGAACCTGTTCACCGCGTCTTATCTGTCGAAGACATGGTGACTCCATCGTCGCAACTTCTCCGAGCCTAGTGAAAGGCGAGCAACAGTCACTTGACATCTACGATGACGTCATTTCCGCTTGTTTTTCGTCTTCCTTCTTGTTTTACACTTGACTGGCACCACGAGACGGAGCTGCGATAAAAATATATTTTGCGGAAAAGTGACTCTTACGAAAGACATAAAAAATATGCGCAGATTACGTTTAAGGCGATTACATTTACATTTACACGTTCACAACTTTTTTTGTCAAATGCGGCTATAGCTTTGGTTTTCCGCTAGCTTAATTCGTCCCTTTCTATTATGTTTCCACAGGTCCCTGAACTGGAATGGACTGCGGCGCCAATGCTACAAGTGTTACAATGAGGCAGATTGGGACGCTTCCAAGCAGCGCTACGATCCTGTAATCTCAGATTAAATAAACAATTACGCACCTTATCACTCTACGTTGCAATCCTGTTCGGTCTGCTCTCATTCAGTCGCCTGCAAAATATAAATCCTTATGTTAGCGGCAACTTCCCCATAACTTTAGAATTCAGACTCGTGCTGCTCTAGTGTTTATGCGGTGCTCTACTTTGTGGGTTCGACAAAGCGAACTGCTCAGTCTTCAATCGAGTCTTTATATCTTTCTGAATTTTATACGATCTCTGCATTGGCGGTAATACACCACCATGTAAATTTTAGATATTTCAATCCCTGCTATACTTTTGACATCAACTCATCTTCCCATGTGGGCAAAACAACAGTGAAACGACGACTGCCGTGAACAGGACAGGACAGGCTATTACTGTTTTTTTTCCTTTTTTTTTAAACTTATAGTAAAGAAAGCAGACACGCAAGAAATTCACTTATAAAAAAAAGGAAGACAAACAACAACGCATCGCACATTTACACACCTGTCGTGAATTTTCCTTCTTTTGTCCTTGTCATTTGCGCTGCTTTTGTTCACCATGTCTACCGACTACCAACTAGCTCAGTTTTCAACTTCATTACAAAACATTGCCGACGACTTATATATTCGAAGTTCTACAATGCATGAAACACAGTAATTGAGAGGTCAGCCCTGAAATTCGGTTTTAAAGACATTCGACATCCGTTTCGGAAAGTGTAGGCAAACCTATGTTTATTATTTTCTCGATAAATATGGTATGGAACTCAGATTGATATTTAGGCCACATGACATAAGTTACTCGGCTAATTTTTGCAGGAAGAGTGAATTAATATATAGGTCACGTGAGGCAACATTTCCTTCTAAGTTTAGCGGATATACTTTATTGGTTAGAGGGTCTTGGGACGTCAAATATTCTAATAAATTTACCAAAGAAACTCAATTGGTGTACATGTCACTTGACATCAGTTTCCTTGCTAGATTTAGCGGGAGAAAGCAAAGACGGACGGACACATATTTGGTTTAGTTAAATAGAATCATATACTTTAAAAATAAACTAAACAACCTATGGCCCAACTTTCTTCGTTATCCTACAATAACTAAACGAAAATAAAACAAAGTTTATATTCGTTATCCTAAAATAAGTAAGTGTGAAGAAGGCAAAGGTTATAAGTTTTCGTTGCACACACAACGTTGCGTATCAACAGTTGTGAAATTACGCAAACAAACGCCTGCAGGGGTTTAGGGGTTTGCTCTAAAACTAACTTAAGTCGAAATTATCACATTAACAACCTGCGAATAAAAATAGCCGGACCTATTGGATATAATATCCAGGCAAAAACATGTATCACTGAGTGTAGAAAAAAATTACACTTCTGACTAGATCACTCTCATCTTGTGTATTGTCATTTTACCCTGGGGTACGTGCAATAAGACTGCTTCAGATCGACTTCTTTCACTTTTTGAAAGGACCCTACGAACCAGGGTGTAAGATAGGCAGGTGGGGAAACGTGAGCCAAATGAGCGACTGGATTGTGTCCCCCTCGGTTTTCTCTTTTTCTGTGGCGCCATCTATGTGGAGCACCGCGAACTCTCACTCCGGGTGGGCTACCGGTGGCGACCGGCTAAACTGACGGAGATGGTTTCTCGTGGATTTTCAATGGAGGACTGTCGTACTTACGGTTTATTTTGCGCACTCTCCCATAGAGTTCCACGCAAATCCGATTCCGACTTTTTTTCCTCTCGCTGCAGTGCCATCTGTCGCAAATCGGGGCTACCCGCAAGGAGACGAGTACACAGTCCGGTCAAGGCGCTGCGGTAGGCTTCTATGGGCCATTTCTCCACCTGTCTATCTTACACCCTGCAACGAACACTGTTGTTTCGTAAAACTGTTGCCAACTGCTACCTATATAACAAACTCGTGACACTACCATTTTCTGAGTTCTAAAGTTGCTGCCTATGTACTTTAATCTATTACAGCTAAGCACGACTTTATTTATTTTGTGAACAAATACTTATCAAGAAAAAGAATAAACCTACGCACCATATCCTTGGTTGAGTCCAGGTCCAGCACAAACTATGGTGCCCAAACTATTACCAATCAAATCATAGCCTCATGCAATATAAACCCTTCTTTACTGAATGCGCCCAAGAAAGTAGAACCATCTACTAAAGAAAAAACTACAAATTTCCTTTTTTTAGTTTTCTCTTACTTATGCGTAATGAAGTCAAGTAGAACATTTCAAGCGCAACTCGACAATGATCACCCCCCTTCTCTGTCTGTAACTTTAAAAAAACACCTTATCGTCTGTGTTTTTATTCCCTCGTTATTGTCTATAAATTGAGCTGTTGGCTCCCTTTGCACTGCGCTAATGATAGGTGAATATATAAATCTCAGGGTGTCGAACCGGAACCGAACCGAACCGAAAACCGGAACCGAACCGGTATTTTTTTCGGAACTGAACCCGAACCCGAACCGTTATATTGTTATCGCGATGAACCCGAACCGGAACTGAACCGGAAAAAAATAACGGTTACCGGCTCATGTCAAAACGGTTCGGCCACGCGCTGTTGACAATGAATGTGCTATCAATGCCATTTGTTCTTTAAGTGCCGTCAACTGACACACATCTCGCTTACATATTTTTCTTCTCCACTCAGTCTTAGTAATATAAACGCTGCATCCATGAATCTTGACAAACGCTGCATCCATGAATCTTGACATCGGAAGCAGTATTGCGCTGGTCGCGGCTTGCACGGAAGAAAGAGAATTGGAAAGCTGTGCAAAAAAAAAAAAAAAATCGCGTCACGGGATTTCATTTTCCTACAATCTCGTAAATCCTAAATGCTGCTGTGTGCTCATTTCATAACACGTTTCTAGAACGTGATGTTGCAATTTTTTTTTTTATTTTGATGTTATTTTGATGTTATTTTGATTTTGTTATTTCGATGTTGCAATTTGTCATTTATAATTTCCGAACAGGTTCGCGAACCGCTTCGCGGATCGAATTGATCGAACCGGAATTGAACCGGAACAAAATAAATTTACCTGAACCTGAACCGTAACCGAACCCCTATTTTTTTCGGTTCGACACACTGATAAATCTATTGTAAAATGTTTTTCATTTATTGCTTTTTAGCATGTTTTGCAGTCTGATGTGCAAACCTCAGGTGATGGCCTCGTCAGGAGACACTTTGGTCCCCTTTAGCCGCGCCTCGTGGAATTTGTACTTTGTATCTATATTCAAAACAAACTTCTATTGATAAACCTTGATAGGTTAATAAACGTCTAGCAAATTGAAGGGGCGAGGATTGTATCGGCACGCCGATACAATGCTCATCCAGATCGAAACGGGCAAAGGTGGGGATTCAACCTAAGATTCCTGGGTTCTGCAGCGCGAGCTTTCGCTCCATGTGCTCCGAACTGGTGTGCGCTACCCCATTATAAAATATCTTGCAAGATATCAAGGATTACCACTAGAAGAATACGACGACGGTGCAAAAGAAGAGAGCTAGAAGAAAAGAAGAGGTACCGGATCGACGGTTTTTTTTTGGACTTGATTTCTGTTACCATCATTCGGCCGATATTAAAAACGGTCTCAATCGCAACGGCTCCTTGGCTTCCTCGCCGAAACATGGTGCCGTGAACAGGATCTCTGCTTCGCCAACGAAGAAACGTGGACAGAAGAAGTCGGCGAAGGAGCGGCTGACGAGGACCTGGACAGAACAGGAGGAACAGCCAAGGAACAGCAGGCGGAGACCGGACACCAGTGCTCAGCAGTCGTAAGCCCTTTGAACATTTGACAATGAGCAGGGACGTTGTAACCAGAAAGAGAAAGGCTCTAAGGACGCAAATAACTCACCTAATAACGGACGCCGACAAAAAAATTGAAGAAAATGCTGACAAGAACGATCTCTTGCTATCGGCTAATCTGATTAAAGGAGTCGCAGAAACGCTCAGAGAGACGAACACTCAAATGGAACAATTTCTGACGGCCGAAAGCGCGGATGCAGAATATGAGAGGGTGATCGAATACGATCTCAAGGTAATAACTGCAATCTCCAAGTTAGAAGTCAGTATTCAAAACACAACGCAGGGTACGCAGAGAGGAGAACATGGTGGCCAAGTTCCCGCGTTAAGAGAAACCGCACCGCGTGAGATGAATGAACTGGTGAAGCTGCCAAAGCTCGAACTCGTGAAGTTCGATGGAAACAAATTGATGTGGCAACGATTCTGGCATCAGTTCGAAACGTCAATTCATTTAAGTCCGGGGATGTCAAACGGACATAAGTTCAATTACCTTATGACGGTGCTTACGGAAAAAGCCGCCTTGGCCATTGAGGGGCTGCAGTTTTCGGAACGAAACTATGAACAGGCGATAAAACTATTAAGAGACAACTTTGGGAGTGAAGACAACTTGATCGAGACACATATGAATGCTCTCATCAACCTGGATCAAGTGAAATCCTGCAGAGACCATAATGGTCTAGCTCGGCTGTACCAGAAGATACAGGTGCACACAAGTGGGCTTGAATCAATGGGGGTACTTATCGGGTCATATGCTGCAATGCTGTTTCCAATATTGAAGAAAGCAGTACCAACAGACATGCTGGTAGACTTCAAAGTGAAGGAACAATCAAGATCACGTGATCCAGTAGCGTCCACGTCACAACAAGCGGACGAGACCTCAGGAAGAACAAATCAGGAAATGTTGAAGAGTCTAATTGACTACATCAAACATCAAGTGAGATGCAGGGAAGAGGTGACAGAAGAAGAAACGAGAAATAGTAACGCGACAGCGCCATCCCCACCTGCAAAATGTTCTGCATGGGCGTCAACGTTCCAGAACACAGCAGCACGTAAATGCTTCTTCTGTGATCAAATTGGTCACTACGCTGAAGACTGCACGAAAACGCAATCATATGAGGACAGGAAGTCAAAACTCCGACTCGACAGAAGATGTTTTCGCTGTACAAGACCAAACCACACAGCTAGGTTCTGCCAAGCCAGGATAACCTGCAAGGCCTGCAAGCAAAGGCATGCAACATCAATGTGCCGCCGTAACGAGCAGGGTGAAGGAATCAACCAAAGCACATCCACTCAACGCATAACAGTAAACACACCTGATCAAAGCGCACACGCAAGTAGTGCAACATTGTACCGCGATCAAGAGGTGTCTACGCAGAGGGCATGCAATTTCCATGCCTCACAACAGATCTGCCGTAGCAGCACGTGCGTGTTACTACAAACAGCGGTCGCTTGGACAGAAGGAAGATTAGCATCAGATTATTGTCGAGTGATGCTGGATAGCGGAAGCCAGCGGTCGTTTATAATCGCAAGCTTGTCCAAGAAATTGGGATGCAAAGTTCTCAGAAAAGAAAGACTCATTATTGGATTATTTGGGGGAAAAGAGGTGGAGCGAATGCTCAATGTAGTGGAGGTGAAGCTGAAAAAAGAGCCAATGACAGAAGAATTTTTGATAGAGGCCTTAGAGGTGGAAGTCATCTCAAGAGAGACGCTGCCAAGGCCAGACATCAATATTCAAAGGAACCTGAAAAGGATGAACATACCACTAGCAGACGACCCAGAAAAAGTAATCAGTAACGAAGCTACGAGAATTCTGATTGGTTCGGATCATTACTGGGAGATGTGTACTGGACGAATTAAGAAGCTAGACAAAAGAATCACTGCCATGGAAACAGTGCTAGGATGGACAATTCAAGGACCGATGACAGTTCATTCAGAATTGACGACTTCTTCCACAGTCATGGTCTTGAACGTAAGTGCAACAGTCGAGGAGGTCAACGACGCCTTGAAACAATTTTGGGAACTAGAAGCAGCAGGCATCAAAGATAGTCCAATAGAAAACGGCCACGACGAAGACATACCCGCCAAGTTAGAAGATACAGTAACTTTCCAGGAGGGCAGGTACCACGTCCGACTGCCATGGAAGTCAACAGTTAGCTTAGATGACAACAGAGGACTGGCTTTAAAAAGGCTGAACCAACTGACCAGAAGGCTACAGAAGAATCCGGAACTACTTGAGAAGTATGACAGAGCGATACGAGATTATTTAAACACCGGCGTTGCAGAAAAAGTGAAAGATGAAGACACAAACGGGCGACTATGCTACTACATGCCACATCAGGCCGTAATGCGAGATGACAAGGCCACCACGAAAATCCGCATAGTATTCGATGCATCATCGAGCGGTTCGCCCGGATCTTCGTTAAACGACAATCTGGAAGTTGGCGTAAATTTAAACAAAGATATTCTGGCTTTACTGATCAACTTCCGACATCATCGTATCGCAATGGTGGCGGACGTGGAAAAGGCCTTTTTGCAGATTGGCATACACGAGGAAGACAGAGATTCGCTCCGCTTGTACTGGTGGAATGAAAAGCCGAGCCTTTGGGAACAGCACCCTAAAATGGAAGTATGGAGGATGAAGAGAGTGACGTTTGGCACTGCACCAAGCACCTTTCTCCTCGCGGCGACTCTTCGATATCACATGAAAACGGTGGAGGACGAGTTTCCGGAAACAGTTGCCCAATTAAAGAAGAATATTTATGTCGACGACGTGTTACTTGGAGCAGACACTGCAGAGGAGGCTTCAAAGACGTACCGTGAAGCCCGATGTATCTTCGCTAGAGCGAAAATGAACTTGCGAAAATGGGTGTCGAATAATCAGGAGGTGCAAAATGAATTTGCGCATTACGATGAGGGCAACACGGAGGTGGCCAAAGACGAAGAGAACGGAGTATTGGGCCTAATATGGAGCACTACATCGGACGAGCTCAGTCGAGCTCATCCACTTTCCAGTCGAAAAGTGGATGGTTGGGCTCAAGGGAGCAACTCTTACCAAGCGGCAAGTGCTGCAAATAACAGCAAGACTGTTTGATCCCTTGGGAATGCTCACACCATTTTCAGTGAGAGCTAAGAGAGAATTTCAAGAACTTTGGAAGAAAGGCATCACATGGGACGATCCACTGCCAGAGAAGGAAACCAGGGAATGGACGACATGGATAAATGAGCTGGAGGACCTAAAGCAAGTCAGCGTACACCGATGTTATGACGCTAATCAACGACAATCGGTGCAGAAAGCCGACCTACATATCTTTTCAGATGCAAGTCCATTTGCGTACGGCGCAGCGGCGTATATAGTTAGCACCTACGAAGATGGAAACAAGGAAGCGCAACTGCTTCTAGCAAAAGGTCGAATCGCTCCGCTAAAAGCAATTTCACTAGCACGGTTAGAACTTTTAGCCGCTACCATGGCAGCAAGGCTGAATGAGTATGTCACTAAAAATTGAGTTCGGAAGATCAGCCAATCTTGCTTTTGGACAGATTCCACTATTGTGCTACACTGGATCAAAGAAAGTAAAAGAAGGGAATCGTTTGTCGAAAACAGGTTGAAGGAAATAATTCAGAGATCAGAACCAGAAGCGTGGAACTACGTACGAAGTGCAGAAAATCCTGCCGATCTCCTAACGAGAGGAGTAAAGGCTTGCCAACTTGTGACCTCACGTTTATGGTGGAAAGGACCAGAATGGCTAGTCGAGAGCCAAACACGACCACCATATGAGTATAAAATAAGAGAAGAAGGAAGTGAACCAGTGAAGACAGAACTGTGCGTGGTAAACCTAACACTCACCAATATAATCGACACTCGAAGGTTCAGCTCGTACGTAAGGCTCTTGAGAGTGACAGCTTGGGTGTTCAGGTACATAGAAAGGAAAAGAGGAAGCAATACTACGGGCCCTATAACAGCTGAAGAACTGGAGGAAGCTGAGCGCTATCTCATCAAACAAGAGCAAAATATATCACTCCTAAACCAGGAAGTCGCAACGAAGGTGAGAGGAGGAAAGGATGCAGAGCTGCTACATGGAGCGAAAGTCTTCAGGAGTAAAGATGGGTTGCTCAGGCTAGAAGGTCGTCTTCAGGAGAGCCAGCTTGGTTTTGAAGAACGACATCCAGCGATATTGCCGAAGAACAGTCACTTCACAGAGATTCTGGTGCGGCATGTGCACCATCTCACCTTGCACGGAGGAGTAAGAGACACGCTGGCGCGCCTGAGGACGAAGTTCTGGGTGTTGCAAGGACGACAGTTAATCAAAAAGATTTTAAGCAAATGCATTGAGTGCAAAAAGTACAACACCAGACCGCTCGATCAGGAGATGGCTCCCTTACCAGCAGACAGAGTCACGCAAAGCCCTCCATTCAGTGTTGTGGGTATAGACTTCACTGGACCACTTTACGCAAAATCGTCCGGAGGAGTAACAAAGATGTACATCGCAATATTCACTTGCGCGGTAACCAGAGCGATACACCTGGAAGTTGTGCCCAGCATATCGACAAGCAGCTTCATGCAAGCGTTTAGAAGATTTGTTGCACGAAGAGGAGTGTGCTCTGTGGTGTACAGCGATAACGCTAGAACATTCAAGAGAGCGGACAAGGACATCACTGAGGTGATAAAAGTCATACAGGGCCCCCAGATTAAAGATTTTATAGCGACGCACCAGATCAAGTGGAAATACATTGCCGAGCAAGCACCGTGGTGGGGTGGATTCTACGAGCAGATGATAAGGAGCATAAAGGCGTCCATGAGGAAGGTGATTGGACGGAAGTTGCTCAGCAGTGAGGAATTGCTCACACTCACCACGGAAGTAGAGGGTGCAATGAACAACCGCCCACTGACATACACATACAACGAAGCTGAGGAACCGATCGCAATCACACCTGCTGATATAGTTGGCGGAAAACAGCGCCTCCCCAGTTCTGGCACAAATTGGAGCGCTGATATTGGAGAGGCCTGGAGAGCCAAGCAAAGCTTATCGAAAGACTGGTGGCGCAGATGGCATCAGGAATACCTGAAGGAAATAAGAGGCGCTCTTCTGAAAATGGACGTTAGGGGCAGCCAGATAAAAGAGGGACAGTTGGTTTTGATTGGAAACAAGAAGCATCGAGCGTTCTGGAAAATGTGTAAGGTTGAAAAAAACGTACCCCGGTCGAGACGGGCTTGTGCGCACATGCCTTCTCCGAGGACCAGGAAACAAGATTCTGAGAAGGCCGATTCAACTCCTGTACCCACTTGAGGATTGCTTTCATTAAACGATATCTGAAAGGGCGGGGGAAGATATAAAATATCTTGCAAGATATCAAGGATTACCACTAGAAGAAGACGACGACGGTGCAAAAGAAGAGAGCTAGAAGAAAAGAAGAGGTACCGGATCGACGGTTTTTTTTTTGGACTTGATTTCTGTTACCATCATTCGGCCGATATTAAAAACGGTCTCAATCGCAACGGCTCCTTGGCTTCCTCGCCGAAACACCCATGATGCCACCGATCTTTTCTTTTCTTTTTCCGCCAATTTTTTTTATTACAGATATGGCTATTTACAAAGTTTTCAAATGACCACATTGGTTGCCATACACTTATCATGACCGTGAGCACTGTTTGACAGGCGAGGACCGGGATTCACGCACAAATTCAAAATGTATGTGGCTCGGTCATTTCTTTGTAGCGTCACTGTCATGATTCTAAGGAATGACATAAAAGGAAGTTGAAGGGGCAAAAAGAAAGAAGATGATGCCACGTGAGACAACAATTTTAGGAGGGGAAGAAAAAGAAGAGGACGGGGTGAGAGGGAGAATCGAAGACTGAGACCGGGAGGAAGCGGCGGATGGGGTTTATGGCTGCGCTCCAGGACGCGCCCGACCCTTGCTGTGCACAAGCTGTCGCGGCGAGAGTTCCGCACTCCCCTTCAGAGGCCTAGGAGACAAGGGCCTTCGCTGCCTTGGGCAAGTAACTTCGGTTCGTCGACGCAACGAACTCAAACTGTAAGGCCTGCTCCGAATAGCTTCATTTCTTGGAACTGTAGATATGCTTAAGCGTGTGTGTATTATTTCCCCTTTTACTGTGTACATACTCCTTTGCTTTCCGTTATATCTTCGTCTCCCTTTTGTAAATATAATGGGTTGTAAATTATTCGTTTTCGGCCTCGCCTCTATCGCATTCACAACGTCTCCGGCCGAACCGTGACAGTCACATTCACCGCACTCACTCGCGAAGTGGCCCGGTAATTCTTATTTACTACTGAGCATACAGAGCGCGGTTATGGAAACGCGCTCCAATTAGAGACCAGCATTCAAGCCCTTGTGGCTCCGTCGCCTGAAGAAGTCTGCTCACGTACCAAAAGCCGTCGCAGAAGTGCTGACACGCGTGCTTGGATCCCTCTGGGACCTCCAAGTGATCCGTCCTCGACCGCCACTGCGCATATAAACCGAGGAGGGCCTGCAGCTCCGATGCCCTGCACTGCGCACTGTCGCTGAAAAGCAGAAATTTCCCGCTCTTTCACTCCACGAAAATATCTATCTGCAGCGCTGCTCGAAGTTCTGCCCAAAACATTTCGCATTCGTACAGTACAAACACACATGCTTAAGTGTTTCATGCGACGGACACAACGCACAATTTATTCACCACTATTTAAAGAGGTTTTTCTTTACCAGTCACGTCTTGACTGGCAGCACTTAGATATGGAAGCGTAGAAAAAAATTCGTGACCGTCGTTCTGACAGGGTACCTACGCACGCGACGAAACACATCCTGTTTTTCCGGACTTCCCTGAAAGCTGCGAAAGAGAAGGGGTGGTATAACCATGCAAATCAACTGTCTCAACAAAGAAATTGAAAAGATTCCTCCCAGCTCTTTAAACTCAGAAATCACGAGGGAATTATCTTGATCGGGAAAAAAGAGGAAACGCTGTGCTTCAGTTTTACGCTTACGAGACCCAAGCCCCCTTTCTTCTGACTTACAAATAGGTTGTCACGCCTCATACGTTCAAAACACGAGTCCCATATAAATGTTGCGATAAATCGATGAACCTTCGCCACATCAATTTGGGAGCACGGTAACACTTGCGCAACGTACCAAACGGTCGGGAAAAAAACAGTTGCAAATGAATGCGCGAGTGAACAAAAAAAGTTCCTTGGCATGCCAGTCAAGCCCCTTGCTTCTGAGGCGATTAATGTCCAAACGACCGCACCTTGCACACAGTTGCTCTGCGGTCAAGCTGAGCCATAGATAGTTCAACACGCTCGTCGTCTAGGTGACACCTAGGAACTGCTCCGGTTTCAAGTCCCAGTCTCCAAGCCAGACGCGGATTGTGTCTGTGTTCATCAGCGCACCCGAGACACTGCAAAAGTCTGCGATGAGTTGGGTTACAGCGCGCACTTGCTTCCTTGACGAGCACACCACCGTGACGTCGTCCGCGTAGGCGAGCACTTTAGGCGCGCCCGACGGCAGACAGCCCACGAATGCTCGCGTCGCCGATAATGGTCCTGCAACACTGTGTCAGGTACAATGCAAACAGTATAGGCGAAATGAGACAGCCCTGTCGTACGGATCGGGTAACTGCGATGGGAGCCGTCCTGTTGTCATTGACCAGTAGCCGTGTCATGATGTCACGGTAGCACAGCTGCACATACCGTAGCAGCCGCGCCCCGATCCCACACTCCTCCACAAGCCAGAAGAGGAACGAATGGCGAACCCGGTCGAAGGCTTTGCTCAGATCTACCTTGACGCTTCCACACTTGCGCTGCCTGGTGCACGATTCACATCGCGTGCAGGCAGATACTGTTGGTCCGTCCCTTGATGCCGTAGGCCTGGTGCTCTCCGACGACGTCCCGTAGACCCCCTTCCAGCCGCTTTGCCAGAATCTGGGCTAGGGTTTTCTAGTCGCTTGTTAGCAAACTGATGGGCTGAAAATGAGCGACCTTCGGGGTTCCCTTCGAGTTTTTCTTCTGAATGAGCACCGTTACCGCCAGTCGCAGGGATGGCGACAGCAGTCCTCGCTTCAGTACGTCGGCCTACACGTCTCGCAGGATAGGACACAGCTGGCCT